AAAAAAAAAAAAAAAAAAAAAAGAAGGGAGCAGAAGAAACAGGAATAGCTGCTTCCTGCCGGAGGACGCATGGCAACCTACTCGGTGCCAGACACCATGCTAGGAGCTTCACACGCATCCAAACAGGTGGACAGAAAGTTTCAGTAGGTGCCGGAATAAACAGGGTTTGACAATCACCACACATACACCTGGAACCTTATTAACATGAAGCAGTGTGGTTTATAACATTGCATGAAATTCTAAACCTGAGGGAGTAGAACGACATTTCTATACTATAGAACCCGCTTACAGCGTGAGAATCCATGGCAACAGATTAGGAAAGATCTCCACATAAAGCTCTACAGATTAATGAACACTTAAACAAACCCCACGAAGTTCTAACTTAAGAAAAGGAAGGAGCACCAATTCACAGCAATATAGTCCCAAATTAGAAAACGGCAAGAACCTTTGCATGAAAAGTCCAAACATGTGCACTAAGCACATAAATCACTATGTTTTTTCAAGTAAGAAAAGTACAGTCTAGTCTTACCTGATGGCTGCCAAAGGCTGGAATAAAAATTACTGACTTAGAGAAGCAACTTTCACATGTATCTGAACATCAAACACAACGCACAATATAAAATCAAAAATAACTGGAACAGAAAACTTTTCAGTCTGACCTTAAAAATACTGAGCAAATCACTAGATGAAGCCAGATCAAAAGGAAGGGCATTACACCAGCTTGTAGCCATATGTGAAAGGGCCCCAAATGCACAGGGCACAGATGGTATACCACGGGGAGGAGGCGGCACAGGCAGATCCAAAACATCAGGCAAATAAACCTGCTTCAAGTTACACAGGTAACACAGTTCAGAAGAATGAATAATTTTGAATGCAAGTGATAGGATTTTAAATTTGGGACAAAGGGTACTGGAGGTGCCAAGGTAAAGTGTGCCCACTAGTTTAAGTTCAGAAATCCTTTTGTGTAACTATCTCAATGAAACTGAAATCTCGGCGGGGGGACATCAAAGGGATGGTGACTTGTTATTACCCAATTACTGAGAAGATAGTTAAAACTTTTTGAAAAACCATACAATGGCTGTCAGCCATATTACCTGATTAAGGGCTGAGAAATTTTTCTTTGCGGGGGTGGGGGGTGATTCAATGTATACTCACGAAGCTAATAGCTCTATTTGAAAACAGAAACACTGTAACTTAATTAAAATCCTCCAAGTCCTTTAATATTCCCCATTCATCATTGATGTAAACTGCTAAAATTAAAATTTTCACCTCCTAAACCTTCATCGAAAGTCGCTTCGTTTGTAAAAAAAAAAAAAAAAAAAAAAAGTTCTATAGAGAACTCAGAAATGCTAATACTTACTTCGTTTGTTTCTCTCATGCAAAGTTGCCAGGTTCATAAATCTCAAACACTTGTTCCCAAATAGAAGTTTCAGAAAAATTCTCTGACTTCAACATAAGTTGAAACTGTCATAAAGAGATCGTGCGTTTCGTTCAGTGAGTTGATCACTTTTCTCAGGCAGCAACCAAAACAAAGCCATTTAAGACAGATTTCTTCAACCTTGTGATTTCCGAAGGACACAAGAGCATAGAATATCCAAAAGGCTGTTGTATTGGATATTCTAGTAAGGTACATTCAACACACACATATACAATGGGACTCTCAATTTTAGTAGCAACGATGAACAGAATAATACTGACTTCACAATGAATTTTGCTTATCATTCACGTGGTTTAGGGAATACTCTGAGTTTTTTGGATACTTCCATGTATCAAAGGATCCTTCCAATTTAGTAACAGCTTTGCTAAGCCACATCTAGGAGTGACAATTAATTTGAGTGGAAATTCATTCCCAGACTACTCTGATAGTCATTTGAACACTTCTGAGTTATTTTACATGCAATTTTATAGCTCTGTAGCGTTCATTTAATCTCGTTCAATGATGCTGAACCCCAGATGCCATAAGGCATTATGGAAAAGGAGTTACTGCACATATGGGGTACCTACTTTTTCTGAACATTAATTTCTTTTCTCTTAACAGGCTGAAATGGTATCTAGAAAAGAGAAAAGCCACCATTCTGTATTAAAGGTTTTATATTATGGACTTCCGGAGGTGGGCTACCTATTACTGCTTGTGGTCCTAGCCATCAAGTTCTTATTTACGAACATCACCTTCTCAAGCCTAAGTCATAATGGCTTTCTCCAGTCTTCAGAAGGTTGTTGGTATTATACACGCAAATCAGGTCACCTGAGAGAGCTTGCGGGGGGTGGGTGGTGGTGGCTGTGAGGCTCTCCCCATTTGAAACATCAGGGGGTTGGATATAATCAGGGGTTTGCAAAGTGGGGGTCTGAGGACCATCCACATTAGAACCCCTGGGGCGCTTGCTAAAAAAGGCAGGTATCTGAATCAGAAACTCTAGGTTCGGGGTCGAGAAAGGAAGCACCCCAGTAAATTCTTCTGCGTGCTAAGGGATGAGAAGCCCTGGTAGATGATCTCAAAGGTCCCTTCCACTCTAAAATTCTAAGAGTCTGTGAGTTTTACGAGTAGAGTTGTTATCAGCCAGATCTATAAGACAGTGACTCGGAGCCTGAATGGGTTCTAACCTAAATAATAAGTGCTGTTAGATTTCAATGCGTATGTAAAAGCAGAAAACGAAAACAGAACAGTATCATCAGACGTGTGAGGCATCTATTTGGGCTTTTGTCCTCATGGGAGATGGAGGGGAAGAGCCCACTCTAACTGCTGCATAGGAGAGACCCCAGGGGGCTTTCACTGCACTTCCATTCCTGGCTCCTCCTCACCTTCTGACCCCTCTCTGCTGTTGCAGCAGTGAGTTCTCCAGGCATTGGCCACGCTGAGTCACCAAACTCTTAAGTAACTTGTCATCGGTCTGAATATCCCCTTTTAAGAAATACACTGTCTACAGGCAGTCCTCTACTTTCATCTGTAACCAGCGAAACGTGACAGAAACATCAATCTAGGAAAGGTGAACAGCAGACTTAAACATTTTTAAAGGGGAGTTTCATATGTAAAAAGAGAAAAGAATCAAACTCTAACTTTACTGCTCCCTTTGGGCACGAGATTTGCCCACTTGGATGAAATATTTCTGGTATTTCCTATACGTTAGTTTATTTCATTCCTTCTCTTCCTGACTGCTTATAGGCTCAATGAGAGCCTAAGATTTGAGATTCTTTTTTTAAAGCACATCCGTAGTGCTCTATCTTTGACACATTTTTATTAGGTGTAGGAGAGCTAAACTTCTACTGGCAGTACCTCATCAAATTTTTATAAAACCACAAGAGCAACAGGCAGTGGAATCCTAAAATGATTATACAAACAGAGCTGGGTACATGATGCTGCTGAGGCAGAACCGCTGGCGGGAAAGCAGCGCCACCATGTGATCGCTCCAAATGTTGTCAGCTTTGTGTAAATACAGAAGTTGGGATCCTCTCAGAGTTGGGCATCGTGTAGCAAAATGCCCACCTCCTGGAATAATAAGGTTATTTTGTAACACCACACTGTGACACTGCTTCGGTCACTGAGTGTGACAGGCAGAGAATGAGAGCTGCTTATAACAAGGGCAGCTGATTATGTATCGGGGTATCAATGGCCAGATCGGATCAGATGTTCAGTGCGTGATCGGGGTGACATGTTTTGGCGTGAGGGAGACAGACTTTGAGTGTTCCCTGTTTAAGGAAGCCTGGACTACGGTGTAGCCTGCAGACTTCAATGCCCAGCTCTTATCACGCTGGCTAGTCCCCTGTCCTTTCACAAGGGACAATCTCTCTGTGGGTAGATTACACACTAGGCCTAGTGGGCCCAATTATGTTCAAAATTTCTTTCAAGCACAAAGTCTTGTGACTCCATGTATGATGTAGACATCGGCTAAATTCAAGAGACCGGAGAAGGTTGGGTCAAGGTTTACCAGAATCGTGTTTTCCTTTCCATGTTTTTTCTCCATCAACTGTATCCCTCAATTTAACAGGCACGTTATATTAAATGGACGTGTCCTCTGTAAACTACACCCTCACTTCAGAAATGCAGAAACACTGTGGGTGGGAGGAATATTAAAACGGAGTGAGTTGGCATTCAGAAAGCGCTTACAAAAGAGAACCGAAATACAGACAAGTTACTTTCAATGAGTACCATCTGTCCTTATTTAATAGGAATGACAAAGACCAGAGAGCAAGCTCTCTGGCTTCTGGACGGCTCTATGCAGAGAGTCCAGGCTACACCTGCAAAGACTTCGCTGAAAGACACCCGGATTCTACTGCAAGTAACCCCCTTTCCCCAGCAATGGCCGAGGGGGGGACGCCACCCTAACACTAAAGTCACGTGCCCCACAAAACATTTCCTTGTATCTCCAGAGAGTATTAGCTTCTTTCATCCAAAAAGGTAATGAGAGGTTTTTAAACTGATTACATCAGCTTAGTTCATACACTGTCTCTTAAGAACTAAATAGTCAATTAAAACAATTTCCAAAGCAAAATCTGACAAAATCCTCTCTTAGGGTAATTTAGATGATAGGTCTTTAACTTGGGCAAATTAAACCCTTCTCACAGTTGGTATCTTCCACAGGGTCAGAAAGAGTGGCGCAAGTTCTCTGGGACAAAAAGACCTACTTTGTGTGTTAAGCCATGTTTCGTGATCATAAACAATAGAAACTAGAAAACATTAATGGGAGCCTAACATTCCTATTCCTTTTATTTTTTTACTTCAAAAGCTACATACATGCAAAAGTTGAACATGTCATCACAATGCTTTAAATGAAGTTCAAAAATAAAAACACTTCAACATCCATTTACTTATGGAAATATATATGACAATTATAATGAAGATAAGTCAATTATATCCTTTTTTCTACTCTATCAGAAAAATACTTATATTATAAAAAAGAATTTAAATTCAGGCCCAGAATATTTTTTTAAAAATCCTTGATCAATAATTTAAAAACAAGTTGGATGTTAGTACAAGGTTTAACAAAATAGAAGTGCCAGGCTTTTGAAAAATGGGTCTGATATCCTTATTACCTCATTTTGAAATCACTGGAGAAACTCAAGTTTAGAAACAAAGCATTAAAAAAAAAAAGAAAAGCCATGATCATTGTTATTATGGTTGATGTGGTTAGTGATGCAAGTGAAGGGCACGACTTTTGTAAAAAGGTATTGTTTTCAAATCCTTTAAAATGTTTGAATGGAGGATTTTATTTACAAACACAGGCTGCGGGCTGGAAGTAGACCCACCTCTCTCTGCTGGTCAGTACTGCAAGAGGAATTAAAAATCCTGGGTGCAATGAAGTTCGGATGCACCGCCCTTTTGTGAAATGTATAAGCATGCCTTAGCTCCCCTGAGTCCAGAAAAAAAAGCTAGCAGGAGGAAGCGTCTCCAAATGGCCCTGCCTTTTTCAGGTAGACGCAGCAGGAGGCTTGGCAGAGTCGAGGGAGGGAAATCAGAACATTCTGAGTGTTCCAGAGGGTGGTCATTTCCTTCTACTAAAACCGGTATTTATTTGGTAACACAATACGATGTATCTCAACAATTCTAAAAATTAATGTGAACAGAATGCATTCAGAGTTCAACTTTGTGAATGTTCACATTCACCCTGGAAATGAGATTTAACTTCTGCTCCCACATGAAAAGGGCAGGGGAAAGCCGCCCAGACCGGAGAATGACTGATTATTGGAAACGACACACAATATGAACAGTAAAAGGGGATCATTTAACAAAATGTGTATGAATTGACTTGGAAAGCCCTAAGTGGGTACACACACCCAAAATTTAGAAGCAGCTTAATTCAAACAATTAAAATATCACCTTCTCTTTAGATCAGAAATTATAAGGTTTCCTATTGAGACAGACCCCTTGCTACCACTCCAAGCGCCTCCCTTTGAAAAGGCCAAATTGAAATTCTGGTTGGAAAATATTTCCAGAGGGTCCAAAGATCTACAGTTTGATTTATATCCTGATACTCAACTGTGATTATAGTTTTCATGTTTGGCAACCCAACTATTACTTTCCTTTCATCTCGGAAAAAAAAAAATTCTTAAAAAGGAAAAATAAAAGATGTGTGTGCTCTCAGTGAAAAATCAGATTAAGTAAGGTTTTTCTTTTCCCTGGGACAGAAAAAACAATGCCCAGTGCACAGTATATAGGAATGTGTCACAACAAATAATCAAAAGACAGGTTTCACCCAGCTAGTATTCCTCCGAGGACAGTGTGGTTTTCAAAAGCAGTATTGTCACGATTATACATATTCTCATTAACTAGGTACAGCAGAGCTACTTAAAGGGAAACCAATTTCTTGTGCCTCAACGAAAGGGGAGTATAGAAAACAATAATTAGACTGAATGAGGAGTTTAAAAGGGCAAAAAGAAAAAAAAAAAGCTGGAGTGAAAAGAACAGAGAATTCAGAAAGCAAAAAAAAAAAAAAAAAGCAAGAAATGTGACGGAAAAAACCCACACAATCTCCCTCCACCCCACCTGCCACTTTGAATCCTAATTGCTCAATCTGCAAGGGCAGACACCCACTCTAAATGGACCAGCATCGGGCTTCGGCAAGTCTTCTCTTCACTCTCCCTCCTGTTAAGACCGTTTCCAAAACCAATCAGCAAAGGACAAAGAATTCTTTACAGAGTGCAATTAGTGTTTTCCACGTCCACCTTCAAAAGCATGATGCTCTTCATGGGCTAAAGGACAGAAAAAAACAAAAAAGAAAAAAAGGAAAGAAAACTTTAAGCAAAGGATGGGGCAACCCTCCTCTAAGGCATCTCATTCAGTTTCCCCAAATGTTGGCAAGAACTCAAATACCTTTGTGGGCCAGTAACTGTTAGCTAAGGCGTGCATTTCCTGAGAAACGTAATAATGAAAATTAAAACAAGGAATAAACAAGCAATGGGCATGCTGCCTGTTCCTTCTTGCTGTGCCGGAGAGGATGAGTAATTCCCAACAAGCTGATGAAGAGGATACGCTGGGCTGCCAGCAAATTCTGGAGGGAAATGCGCCCCGCAGAATGCAGTGCTGGGGAGGGGCCCCACAGAACCAAGACAGGGTCATTCACAAGCTTATCTTCAAAAATAAAACAAAACAAAAGTAAAACAAAACTGAGAACACCACCAGGAGGATAGCAATTCTCTTAGGTCCTCCCCTACCTTTAAACACCCTCTGTGGGAAATGAAGTTTCATTAAATGGATGATGGGTCTTTTATTTTTCCCAGTCATGGTTTTTTGTTGCTGTTGTTCCTTTCTTCTTTTTTTCCAGCCCTACTGTCTGGCTTGCAAAATGACTAATTAAAATTAGGAACTTCAGAATAAAAAAATGATGCTATGAAAAATATTTTCCAAAGACTTAAATTTTTATAAAGTGGAGGTGGGAATTGGGAGACCTGTGAAATATAAAATATTTCCTCCAAGGCAAAAGGCCCAGTTTGAAAATCCACTTCCTGGACTTGGTTAAACCATCATCATGAAGCAAGGGCAGATCCTCTTCTCTCAAATGGAAAAGTTACTGACTTGGGGCTGAAAAAGCCAAAGGCCACTCAGGATCCCCTATGCTTTGTCCATCCCCCCTCCCCCCCTAGGAAGGATGTCCTAGGAAGGCAGACATGGGCTGGCCCATCTCACCTCCTAAGCCCCTCCTAAGCCTGTGTTTTTAAGATGGACTAAATTCTTCAGACTAGTGTGTGGTAGGGGTGAGGCGGGGAACAGGACCGTTTGCCCTTTAGGATCATCATGGTTATTCACCCAAACCTGCTCTTCACTTGGATGCAACATTGAGAGAAGCACACTTTGCAGCTCCCGGGGTTACCGCAGGTTGGCCCAATTCCCAAGGGTGGCCAGGAATCCAAGCTGACTTAACTGAACATTTCTCACGTGTAGAACTTTATAAATATTTCACTTTTTATGGGTTTTTTTTTTTTTTTTCTTTTTAAGAAAGATTTTTAGGACAGACATCAAACAAAATGTGGCCTGCTCTTCAATGAAGTATATAGCATTGCTACTGGGTCAGGTGGGGGGCGGGCACAGACCTCTTAGCGATGCTGGACCCCAGATGATAAATCAAGAGATAGGAACTGTCCACGGATTTTTATTACTTCTCAGTGGGAGGGACAGTTTGGGGCAGTCATAGTTAAGACAGTGCAATCCTGATGGGTCATGGAGATGGGAACAGAACATTCAGAATCGGGAGAGTTCTGGGGAACAGGGAAAAGGTCTGTGGGCCTTGGGTTAGCCTTGGTTGAGAGGGAATATAGAAAAGGTCAAAGCCAGGAGTCAGCAAACTTTCTTCTGGAAAGGGGCAGAGGATAAACATCTTAGGCTCTGTGGGTCACAGGGTCTCTGTCTCAACTATTAACCCTACCCTTGTAACGTTAAAGCAGCCACAGATGATATATACCCAAACAGGCATTGCTAGGTACCAATATGCTTTATATATAAATACTGAAATTTGGATTTCATACAATGTTCATATGTTACAAAACGTAGTTCTTCTTTTGATCTTTTTCCAACCATTGAAAAATGTGAAAGCCATTCTTAGCTGCAGCCCATACAAAAACAGGTGGGAAGGGGGCAGATTTGGCTTGACAGTGTAGCTTGCCAAACTCTGCTCTAAACAATTCTCACATCAGAAGACATTTGTCATTCAGCTGCTCCGAAGAGCCCAACAGAATTTGGCGGGGGGGAGGGGGTCTCCATTCATTTAAGTTTCTCAGTCAAGTAACCAAACTGTATCTAACACACAGATAACTTATCAACAGCCTGACCCTCAGCCACCCGACTGGAGGCCCTGCCCAAATTCATTAGGGCTCTTTCTATGCGGGAAAATCTCCCCTGTCACGTGGCTCCTGTAACAAGACTGAGGAAAAGCATGGAGTTGGCCATTTCTGACCTAGTTCACCCTACCACCCTACGTGTTCTTTCTTTACCTACCTACCTAACACCCTACCTGTTCTTTACGTACCTACCTAACACCCTGCCTGCTCTTTATCAAGCTGTGAGTAACATTTCTGCCCAAAACCTCATTTTTCCAAATCCATTCTGCAGCACATGGTGTATAACCCTACTGAGTAAAGGACTGCCTGCTTTATATAAAATAAAGACAATTGCTTGTTTTTTCCCATTCCAATTTTTATTTGAATAATCTTCGAATTTTTAAATGTCAATTTATGCCCTTAAAATATGCATTTCTACTAAGACCCACAGCCAGTTCTGCCTAACTCACGGACGTCACTATGGCCTCCACATAAATGTAGACGCCCTAAAGGGCGCCTGATCTGGGGAGCTGCAACGTCCCCTCCTCTGCCTGGCTTTTTTCTCCCCCCCGCCCTCCCCCAACCCCAGCCATCAGAACAATGAAGTGATTGACTCATCCTTGCTTAGTCTTACCTCATTATTGCCACTGGCCTGAAAACTAGCCTAACCGCTCAGTGGCCCGATTACCTCTGTGGCCTAAACACTCGTATCATGTGTTGAGCCTGCTGCTACCCTACGTGTTAGAATTTTGAAGCAGAAGGGACCTTGGAGATCATTTAAGACCAACCTTCTCAATAGTAAGATGGGAAAGTGAAAGGAGGAGAAACCGCGACTTGCTCGAGGTCACGGTGTTGAAGTGGGACAAAAATCCAGACTGCCTGACTTCACCATTCCAAATCGCTTCTCTACTCCTTGCAGTCGAATGCGGAGAAGGTTCTAAGGAGGTAAAGAACGTGTTCGCCCCGTTCGTAAATGGCGGCGAAACATACTTCCTTTTGGAGAGTTTCTGCTGGAGTGAGTCTCGTGGAGTACCAAAAAAAAAGGACCCTCGGTGAACTTTCAATGAATATCTGGGCTGAAAATACAATTAATGTTCCCTATGGAGGGAAAGCTGCATCTACAAATGTGCGACTTCCACACGGCACAATCAATAAGCGCCTTCTGCAGTGCCATCCTCTGTCTCTTTTATTTAAACTTTCATTTAAAACTCAGAGGCTAAGCATCTCCTGAATATCTGCAGCAGCAGATCTGTCCCACTGCTCAAAATCTAAATCCCTGGGCCTGTGATTATATGATTGCTTAGAGGGAGGCCTAGTCTTCATTATCATAGTAAGACAATCACAAAGCAAAATTTGACTTTTTTCTTCTCCTTTTTGACAAGGGGTTGGGAAAAGTGAAACGGTAACAGAGTCTATTTCACTAATACTAAGATGCACTCCCCACCCCGCCTCCCCACTGCACATATGAAGACCCCCGGGGTCAAGAATGTGCCATAGTTTAATTAGGAGCCTTGTATTTTTCTTTCTTAGTGACACTAAAATAATACTTATCATCAAGAGCATCTTAGATTCAATGAAATACCGTGGTTTAAAAAAATTGGGTTACTGACTCTTGGAATAGTTTGGGGAATAGGAAATTCATCATATACGTGTAGGGCTGTCAATCCTTTGCTCTAACTCACTGTTAAAACTGTAACCCGCAGTTCGATCTACCAAACATTGGTTTAATAGCACTAAGCTGTTTTCATTATGAAAAAGATGACTTTTTCAAAAGAGCACACAAAAGCAATGAACATGAATCATGATGGAAACAATGGGTCCACACACCTATTCATACTGTTAACATTTCACCACTATGCATGCATTCTCTTCTGTGTCACAGTCATCCGTAATGAGGACGTATTAGCATTTCAGTAGAACATTCAATCTTGCCTGTGCGCAGGACGAGTTCCTCCACAGATACAGATGTTATACATTATAAATCCCTGTTTATGAAGGGATGATTGAAAATCTGCCTGCCAGCTCATATAATAACTTTTTTTGTTATTGTTGCTTCGAATAGAAGGTAATTTTTTCTGAGAATGCCAAGTTTGAGATCAGGTTTGAATTTTTGAAATAACAAAAACAGTAAGTATCTCCTTTTCTGATCCGTGTGTTTAGGCGACAACTGAAATCTCACTTTAACTTCTGAGGCTAAAGTTTTTTTTGAAACACCCTTAAAATGTATTTTATTGAATTATTAATTGGATTATAGAATTTCAAGCGATTCTCCCTGCACCTCATTGGCAACACGGTTTCTGTCTTTAAAAGTATGATAGAATAAGCTAGAAAGTAGTAACTGGAAATGAAGCACTTACGTTTATAAAATACGGCTTTAAAAGATATGTGGGGCAGGAGTTCATAGATCTTTTCTAAAACGGTGGCTTCCCCCACTACAGCGGCATTTACATTCCAGACTTGGACGACGTCTTCCCGGTCCCGGACACTGACACTAACTCCTATTACTTCGTCATCTGAGCGGAAGGAAGGGGGAAGAAAGAAATGAGTGATAATTTCAAGTCCGCTGGAGCCGGTTTTTTAGCACTTATCATTTTATCTGTAAGTGGTAGAGAAGATGATCAAGACAAGGTGGCACGAGAGAACCCGTGATAAATATTGTTTCTAAGGGGAATCGTTGGGCAAAAAGCAAGTTAGTGGGCAAAAGCTGTAGCAGTCACATCACACTTATCCGGCGACTTAGGTAAACAGAGTGTCCCGGCCAAACAAATTTTCCAGACAAGGGACTTACCCTTCTTAACATGTTACCGAAACTTTGGACTATTTCTTACTCTGTTTTGATGAGACTTTTTCAAGTTGCATAATGATCGGCCCTCCGAAAGCCAACTGAACTCACATGAACTTTTCCTCGATGCTTGGCTGTCTTTGTTAAGAACAGCAAGTATTTCTGCCGACTTCCCGCCAACCATTCAGAGATCTCGGGGTGGTTAGTGCTCCAGGCCCCAACACGAACTGGACCCAGGCTGCGTGTTCCGAGTCGCTCATTCTGCTTTCTGTGGTTTGGCTTGTCTGCTCCTTTCCTATTAATCATCCCTCTGTTCTTGCCTGTTGCTCCCTAGCCATCCCCCTTCTGGTTTGGGCATTTTAACTGTAGGCTAGAGAATCAATGACCATCTGTTAGCCCGGTGTATAAAGTAAGTATCTTCTAAGTGTGGCCATGTCCTTAGAGCACTTCGGCAAATGGGCAGGAAAGCATTTATCTACTTTGATTAATGTAGGTCTTTTTTTTTTTTTTTTTAACTAAATTCTGGATTTGGGGCTGCTCTGTAGGCATTCGAGAATGGTGGCTGGATAAGTAGGATTGTGTACTGTCCTATGGAGCCACTTTGTGTACAGTAATTTGCAGCAAAATGACAGGAGTAAAGACTTGACTCCTGGTACACATGTTTGCAGCATATTACTGAAGTGGGGTCACCCCTCTGCCCTCGCACACTCAGCATCAACGAGTGAAATGTGAAAGATATGCATTATCAAAGTTAGGAAATTTTGCTTTAGTTAATATGTTTTGCCTAATTTTCCTTATTTACTATATATCTGTACATCTCGATACTTCTGCTATCAGTTTTCCCGTGTGTCTTCCGAAGGTTGAAACGTTCCAGCATTTAGATACAATTTAAATGAGGACCTGTCCAATTACTAAAGGAGTTCATCTTCGGTAAAATAATTCCTTTCTTTCCTCCGTCCTTCCCTTCTCTCCTTCATTCCCTTTTTCCCTCTCTCCCTTCTTTCCTTTGTAAATAAATTTGACTCTGGCTAAATGTGTATGACATGACACTAAATACTTCCACGTATAGAAGTGTTTGAAAGCAGACAAAATCAGTCGAAGGTGTCAGAAGTTGGGCTTGTGGCCACCTCTGGGGGAAGGGAGGGTGTGGAGAGATTCTGGAGGCCAGTAACATTCTGTTCCTTGATCTGGGTGCCAGTTACAGGGATCTGTTTACTTTGAGAATATTTATTAAGGTGCACACAAAATAGTTTGTGTCCTTTTCTGTATACATGTCACATTTAAACAAAAATTTCCAAAAGAGCAAACAGTACCTGATCATGGCTACCCACAGAAACTTATTATCCCCTCAAGAAATGTGTCTTATGTACATGTTTCTTGTTTTCTCATTTATCTTCAAAGTATATTTGCTAGAGCTCAATGTTAAATTCTATGTGAACAAAAAATCATCAAGTGAAGAGGGAAGCTTTGGCATTTACCACTTTGAAGAATAGTCATGAAGACACTAGCTCAGCCTTTCGGGAAAAGAGCAGCATTTTCCAGTCTTTTTGTTTTGCCCATTTCTACACTTTTGGTCAGAGGGTACTGTAGCTTTACGGGTGCTGAAAATGCTGAACTGTCAATATTTCAGTCTCTCCTGGCTTTTGGTACCTACGTGTAACCTCCTAGCACAGCACTTTCAGAAAGGGCATGGTAAAAAGGCTGCAGCCCGTATGCAAAAGGAGATCCATCGGCAAACATGCAATATTCATAAGCAGAATCAACCAGCAAAAACGCTGATTATTTTAGGGTACTGGCGGCACAAGACGTCAGAGCTAGGAGGAGCCACTGTTTGAAGATGGGGGAAGTGAGGACCAGAGAGATGAGCTGACCTGCTGTAGTGGTGGAGCTGGGTTAATTAAGAGCGAACAGTTAATACTTAATGGTGCTCTCGTTCCAAAGGCAACCACGGAACAATAGGTCTTCTTTGCTCAATCCGGCCTATTTATTATTACTTAGACTATTTTGCCTGGTTCTGGAAACAGGAATAATTCATACAGAAAACTTCCTCTCCCAGGGATTTATTTGTTTATAATTATACCGAAGATGCATTTTTGACTACATATTGTAAAGCTGCTACCTAACCCCTATTTAAACGGAAGGAATCTGTACTTTTTTTTTTTTTTTTTTTTTTTTTGCAATACGTGGGCCTCTCACTGTCGTGGCCTCTCCCCTTGCCGGACGCGCAAGCTCAGCGGCCATGGCTCCGCGGCATGTGGGATCCTCCTGGACCGGGGCACGAACCCGTACCCCATGCATCGGCAGGCGGGCTCTCAACCACTGCGCCACCAGGGAGGCCCAGGAATCTGTACTTTTAAGACAATTTCATCTTAACCCAGGTTCTGTCTTCAGTGAATGAAAAGAGGTGTGAGAATTAAGGAAAACAAAAGTAGAATGACTGAAACTGTTAGTGAGGTAAATCTAAAACCTGCGTGGCAGCGGCTAGGCCTGTAAGGGTTCCCAAAGGCAGAACCAGTTAAGACGCCTGAGGGCAAGTCAATCAATACCAAATAGTTTAAAAAAAATTAAAGCTCGACAGGAGAAATGTTATTCTAAATGTTACCTCAGAAGCATTCAGAAGGAACTACTCAAGAAGAAAAAGCAAAACTTTAAACTAGCAATTCAATTTTCCTCTTTCAGTGGTTTCACGACAAAAACAAAGCAAAATAAAAATGGGGTAAGGGATTAACAGGTACAAACTATTAGGTATAAAATAAGCTACGGGGATGTGTCCGCGCAGCTTGGGGAACAGCGTCAATATTTTGTAATGACTACAGATGGAGTATAATCTTTGAAAATTGTGACTTTATGTTGTGTACCTGTAACTTATGGGTTTTGTACATCAGCTATACTTTAATTAAACAAACAAAAAAAGCAAAATAAAAATGTATTCACAGGGCTCTCAGAAACTCACTCAGTATTTGAAAACTGAGTGAGTCTTCAAGTAAAGTCTTCAAAGTAAAGTCCTGAAGACTTTACATTCAGCCCCATTTGTCGGATCACAGGCACTAATGGTGATTGATCCCCACCTCCCCTTTATCTCTCACTCTGAGTGGAAGGGACCAAGAGAGGGACAGGAGGAAGGGGCGAGTAATTGAGAGGGGCAGAAAGGACTGTGCCGACCTAACTACAAACTTCAGGTGACAACAAAGGCACTGGGCTCTTCTGGAAGAACTGGAACTGACGAAGGAAACCCACCACCAGTGCGTGGGACATAGGAGCCCAATGTCAAATTTCATTTTCTTCTGGAACAAATATAAGGCTGTATGTCAATTATACTTCAATTAAAAAAAATTAGTTTTCCTTTTTTTCTGCCTATTTATTTTAGACAGATGGTCACGGATACTATGAAGATGAGCTATAAGTGCAAAAAAAAATATAGGCATATACACATATGTATATCCACGTAATATACACATATGTAAATATACATATGCACATACACATATAACATGAAAACGCCACGATCACATGGGAAAAAGCTAAGTAACTTCATAGTTACAAAATAAGCAACTCCAAAATATGTAAAAAAGGCAAACACACAGAAACAAAGCTCAGCAAGGAACAAGCACAAGCCAAGCACGCGCGAGCGGGGACGGCCAGAGCTGAGGGTCTCATTACCTGCGACGGCACAGTCTGTGAACTGTTCCCCGATAGTCGCTAACAACAACTCTTTCCAAACTGTGGACTGGTGTGGGAAAAGAACAAAAAGCAAAACAAAAGAAAACCAAAGAAAAGGAACACATACACATTTTTTAAACAATTATCTTCAGGAGCTACCCAAGTCACATTTTCTTTAACCTCTCACGCCCTTTCCACGCCCGTATTTGGAGCCCGCAGACATCGCTGAGTCACAGGCGTAAACACCCACGTGGTGGCATATGTTTGTATTGTTTTACACATCGCTTTGCACAGAGAGATACAAGGGATCCCAAGTCACAAACTCTGTGTCCACAAAACTGTGGGGTCCGAAGCGACAAAGCTAATCTCTAGTGCCACCTCTGATGAAGCTGAGAACAACGTGGGAAAAATGCACTCAAATGACCTACACTTTTCCAATTTCTTTGCCTCTCACTGATTCAAAATGTATCAGCTGGTTATAAGTGAATGCTATTAGGACCATCCTTCTCTTCAAAACCCTTTCCTGCTTTTCCTGCAGTTTATAAGGCACTTCCAAGGTTACACAAGTGAAGAACACTTAAGGAAATTTCTGGTTTACTGACTACCAGAGACTTGCAGATTTCCATGCACTTGAAGGCATTTTGTTTCTGCTAAGTGACTGAACTGTGGTGTGTGTGCGTGTGTGCGTGTGTGCACACGTGCATTTCCCTGGAAGAATCAGTGCACGCTCTAGTCCACCTCTTCCCTATGAGAAAACCTGGAGCCTCTTCTGCTGAAGACCCCCTAATGCCGTCCAACCAACAGCCAGCATCCACGCACAGGTAACTGGAGGTCTCCAAGTTCTTTCCAGTTCCTCTTCCTCGAAAAGTTCTTGGTTCCGTATCTCTTCCTTGTCTTGGTTCACAGGCCCTGAACTCCACCAGAAGCGGGTTTGACTCCTGACAGCCGGCTTAGAGCTGTACCCTGGGCAGCCTTACTAGCCTCTCTGAGCATCAGTTTCCTTCAGCAAACAGGGAATAATAATAGGACCGACCTCCCAGGGCTGTTGTGACCATGAAATTAGTCAACAAATGTTGCGTTCGACGGGCTCAGTACTGTGATTGCAACAACAGCACTGGAGATTTAAGATCCATTCCATAAATAGCTGCGTGTTTGCTCTGGACCAGGCGCCCACTAATATATTAACTATAATGAGAGTATGTATTATCGTGTTCTAATGAGCTGAAAGCAGCCTCACTGAATTTTTAACCAAGACCACAGCAGTTAACCATCATGGCTTTTCACTCTCAAGGAGGGTTTTCTTTTCTCTTTCCTAGACCCTCCGTCTGGTCTACCTGTCTCCCACCTAGAAGCCATCCCTTCTGTTTTTTTATCTGTCTCACCTGCAGTCTCTTACGCTATTAGGAACAAAGATGAGAGTGTTGAGAGGAAGTTAGGGGGAGGGGACGTTCCCTCTCCTGTTGTGAATTCACAGGAGGTTGACCCACCGGACTCCAACCGGTCAGCAACAAAGAGAGGGCTGAGCTGCTTGGGATGAGGACACTTGTGCAGAGGTGAAAGCGTTATTATTTGCGACTGAATGTGGTCAAGTGAGCTGACAAGGAGGGGGGACAAACTTGTCTTTCAGCTACCTTTCATCCAACGCTGACGTCATGACTGTTTCTACCAGAAGTCAATGTCTACTGCAAGTAAATAAAGAAGATGGCAAGGAAAACGTGTCCTTATGGAAATTCAAAACAACTTTCTCTCCTTTCAGGGGGGCAGGAAGAGCTTCACAGGCCTTGCTTGGTTTTTTGTTTGCTCCCCCGACGTTTTAAAAATTCTATATGCCAAATAGCAGCCAAATCTCGTAGCTACGCATCTTAACGATGGTTTGCACCTTTAACAAACAAACTGGGTCATATTTTTAGGTTTGTGCTCATCGGGAAACAATGCAGGGTCAACCCCGCGGGTCCCTGGAGATGTTTCAATCCTCTGAGCTTCTCCACATGAAAGAAACCATGAAAAGGTGAGACTGGGGAGCATGCGACCTTTCATCCATTTTCAAAGGCGGCTTAAGAATAGATTTGAATGCTCTTTTCAGTCAGTACAATGAATTAGAGCCCACTCCTGGGAAACCCAGGTTTCTGAGGCTTGACCACTGCCAACCAGTGCCCGAGCAGGCTGTGCCATCAACCAGGGTTTCATCAACCCCAGAGGGAGACTGAACACAGCCTCGCATGAAACCCCAAAGGGCGGTGAGAGGCAAGGCCTCCCAAACATCCCCACCCTCTGTGCCAGGGTCATTCTCAGAAGTGCCTGTCGCCCCAGTGGGGAAGGGACGAGCCTTTGCTGGGAGGGATCCTGCTTCTCACTACGTAGACCCACTTCCACATGTCGGTCATGGCTGCGGAGGACATGACAGCCCTAATCAGCTTTTCTGCAAAGTTTATAGGCATGTAGCTGTTCAGAACTATGTGATACAGTCACACTATTACACCATTTCTACAGAGGCTCACAATGTATTTTCAAGGTGACAGTGTAAGGCAGAAAACCACCAAGGTCAGAAAAGAACTTCTCACCCCCAGTCCCATTCTGAGTCTACCAGGCGGACTGTCTAGAACGCACAAGAGGTTCATCATAAGCTGTCAACAACCCCGAGCTTAGCTTCTAGAAAAGGATGAGAGCAAACCTACCGTGCTGTCCTTGGGAACTTTCATCTTCCATACGCCACCCTTTGCATTGCTCTCCTCTTCCCTGGATCAAAGACCAACGTTCACAGTTACACTCATGGATTAAGTAGCTCTACATACATCGAGTTTAGCAATGGATGACATTAAAAACGAAAAACAATGGAGCATTCTGCAATACCGGAAACAGAAGCAGATGAAAGAAAAAGGAAGGGGATGGAGACGGGGAGGGAAGAAAGTGGGATTCAGTGGCCAAAAGGGTAGGGAAGGTGATGGGATACCAGGTTCTCATCCTCAAGGAGCTGGTGAGGAGAGGTTCCCTAGACCACCCGGGGTGGACAAACTAACACAAATGCTTCACATGTGAGAAGGCCTTTACATTTCAACGTCATGCTCTTGACATCGCCTCATCTGATTCGCATTTCAATCTTGGGTCATAAGCCCAACAGGGGACTCAGCCCCGGTAGAGGACATCTGCTGTCTCCCTGTGTAGTAACTGCTCCCTCTTCTGGCAAGAGCACCCCAATTTCCCTTTAAGGAGCTACCTGTCCCCTACTCTTATGCCAGACCGTTTCTGATATGGCTGATTCCATATCCTAGCTTTAAAGGTGGGCTTATGACCCAGGTTTGCTTCCTAATCTTTATGACTGGCCAGGGATGGAAAGGCAACCCACGCTGGGCCAATGAGAGCCTGCCCCGGCATTTTATTGGAGCTGGTGAATGCTGACACTGACAAACTTGTAGGGCTTAAGACTGGAGCTTATAAAAGCCATTTTGTCACCACAAACGGGAGAACCTGCCTGAAAATTAAGCGAAAGCAGAGAAAAGCAAAGCAAGTCTGACGGAGAGTGTCAGATTCCTAAGACGAACTGAGCACCCAGATCTGCCCGAAATCAGCCCTACCGGTAGACTGTTTAGTTACAGAAGCCAAAAGATTCCTTTTTTTTTTTTTTTTTTTTTTTTTTTTTTC